TACACATATATTATTATTGTTGGTATAGATTTACTATTTAGACGCTAAGTAGGTATATCTACTTAGCTAATACTGATATTTTAATGATAGAAGTTTGATAATTATTACAAATAATACGTTTAATGTAGTCATTTAGGTAGGTAGTCATAATTTATCGTTTAAATATGTTAATGAACTAGGTATTTATAATAATAATTCGATTAATAAGTAACCCGGGTCCATGATAGGCATTCGAAAAGCAACGCTACTACCTAAGGTATGCGAGAATCGCGTAAATCGCAAAAATTTCTCTTAGATGTAGCAAAACAGACGATATCCACATTGAATAAAATATTTTACGATCAACAGTAGGTACCTACCTACCTACCTACTTATTTAATTCGTTTAATAAGTTTCACAAAGATGTCATATGCATTCGATACCACCGTCCAMCACACAAGAGTATTAATCATTTTCTTGGAAATACYCTACAGTTTACTGGATTCGCTGGTGATCTTGTAAATATTGTTGTACTTATACAGGTTTAATGAGGATTTTTCGARATCACAATGATGTATATTTTGGACTAAGTTTGTTTTGAAATAATAAAACAGAAATCAATAACCTCACGCAAACATTACAGCAAACCGATGGATTGCGGTGTAGAAAACTAGAAATTATATAGATAATAATATAATGTACATACTATTATAATATCTCTCTCTATTTTAGTATTTTCTCGCCATTCGCCATTCGCAAATGTTCACGTCGATGTCGACCGTGGTCCGTGATCGTGATTATAATAATAATACACAGGTATGTAGTATCAGTGCCCTGTGGCGGGAACTACAGGACCAATGGCACGAAAAAAAAGTACCAACATATTATTATACTGATAATCGATAAACTGATAACTGAAATTCATTACCTATATTATTTTTTTAAGCTCAAAGTTTTATTAATATTTTTAAATAACAAATATTGTAATGAACAATTTCGTAAAAATATCGTGTAGAGTTTATTATTATTGTTATTAACTAACAATATGGTGGTTTGTCGTATTTCGTTTGATGCTTCCAAATAACGGCCTTGAGGCCACATCGTACCTGGTCATGGTGTACATTCGTAATCGGTTCACTTTCTCCTTTTCTCTTTCATAACTGCGTGCTCGTCGTGAGCGCGCCGCGTCCAATGCCACACCATTCGTCATGAACAGCACACCAGCARCATTTCGGCTGCTATGGCCTAGGATATCGAAAAATTCGGCGTCAGCGGTCGTCTGTTACCGGCGACCGTATGCCTCTTCGGTCACMGCAGTACACAACAGCAACCAACAAAAGCCCGACTGGAACCGTGCTGTGTCCGAAGCCGAGAAAATTGTTGGCTACCCAACGTCATTTCTTAGCCTCAGATGGTTGCTGAGCGACGAGATCGCAAATGTTGCGTTACACCTGCGCAAGTTGGTCGGCTCCAATCATCCGCTGCTCAAAACTGCCAAGTGAGTGGATATTATGATTARWAATTGAAACAATAATAATAATAAAAAAAATTAAATTAATTTTCTCTTTACAGAGGCCTGTTGTACAATGGCAGGAATAACATGCAGGCTTGGGGTTTGATAGTGTTGCTAATTTCCAAAGCAGCTGGTCATTTAAATGTGGATGAAATGGAAGAAGACAAAGCTGCTGGCGTTTTACATAGTCAAAGGGCATTGGCCGAGGTTACTGAAATGATTCGTACCAGTCATTTAGTACACAATGGTCTAGTTAACATTTACCCTGGATTATATCCTGAACCTGTTATACTCAACGACATGGCTTTTGGAAATAAAATTGCTTTACTCAGTGGTGACTATTTACTWAGTAACTCATGTGCAGAACTTGCCTCTCTCAGAAATCAAGATGTAAGTAGTATTTAAATACTCAACTTCAAATTTAAATTTATTTATTTTTTTTTTTTAAAGCTTGTTCAGTTAATCAGTAGTGCTTTGCGTGATCTTTCTGAAGCCGAATTCGTTGGTAGAAGGGATTCTCAAAATAATCCTCTTCCTTCGCCATTTGAACCACTTAATCGAAAT